ACCAAAACGTTGACCTGCACAGACAATTTTCTGTCATAGGCTCTAGTATCTATAACTAATTTCAAATACCAAATTAGAAACAATTCCGGTGAATAATGTCGCTAAAATCATCGAAATACCGATTATAGGGAGGTACTGTTACATGGGGGCTATACGAAGACGTGGACCTTCACAATTTTCTGTCAACAATTGTCTGTCTTAGACTGTAGCATCCGTTTGGAACTTCAAATACCAAAAATGAAACAATTCTGGTAGATATCGGCAAAATCTTCAAGATACTAAATGTCAGGAGGTACCGTTATATGGGGGTTATACGAAGACCAGGATATGCACAGACAATTTTCTGCCATAGGCTTTAGTATCTATTACGAACTTCAAATACCAAATTTGAAACAATTCCGATAAAAAATGTCGGTAAAATCATTAAAATACCGAATATTGGGAAGTGCCGTTATATGGGAGCTATACGAAGACCTGGATCTGAACAGACAATTTTCTGTCATATTTTTTAGCATCCATTACGAACTTCAAATACCAAATTTGGAACAATTCCGGTAAATAATGCCGCTAAAATCATCAAAATACCGAATATCGGGTGGTGCCGTTATATGGGGGCTAAAGTAAGGCACCGACCTGCATGAACAATTTCTTGTCTTAGCCTGTAGTATCCGTTACGAACTTCAAATACCAAATTTAAAACAATTCCGGTGAATAATGTGGCTTAAATCATTAAAATACCGAAAATAGGTAGGTTCCATTATATGGGGGCTTTACCAAAACGTGGACCTACATGACCCATTTTCAATAAAAAATAAATAAGTTATGATTATTCTAATTCCCTTTATGGGGGAGTTTCCGAAGCAGTTGCCCAATATTGTCCAATTCGTATCTAACCCAAGGAAGGAAGGTATCAGAAGGAGGGAACATATCTCTACAACCTTCACAGCAATTCTTGTGTTAGTAGAAATAGTGGGATGTGGGAAGCATGAACAGAACCGGAAGCTTATTTCGAATTATATGATAGTTTTGGTCATTTAAAACTTTGACCCTTTGTGGGGGAGGTACCAGAAGTAGTAGACCGATGTATTATATTTTCACACCCGACCTTGGGGTAACAAAAAATCGAAGACAATCGGACTCTATAAAAGTTGTAATTTCTGAAAATGTTGACTCTTTATCGGGGAGGTACTTGACGGAGTAGACCGATATTGTCCATTTTCCCGCCTGACCTAGCATTGTCGCAAATATTAAGATTTCTTTTCTCTTTCTGTGCAGTAAAATGACGAGGTCTAAGTTTGATAATAATATTACGATGTACCAAGATTGGACCGAATCGGATACTCCCTTCAAGTGTTATTGTGCGCACCAGCCAAACGAATTTGGTTCCAAGAGACCTAGGATCTAAAACCTTTATTTCGATAAAGCACGTTTTGGCCGTATCAAATGTTTGGCAACCCAGAACCCTTAGACATTGAACTCGGTTGTCCTCACATCACTCCTCAACTTGTGACTTAGGTCGCCTTCGTTGACGTTGTCTGTGAAGGTGAGTTTTTCATTAAGTCGTTGGTCAAGGGTTCTCACTGTGTACGTCCAGACATTTGGTGTCGATTTAGCGATGTCCGTCCGTCCATCCATCCATCTGTCAGTCTGTCTACCTGCTGCTGCTCACGATAACTCTAGAAGAAAGTAACCGATTTGGTCCAAACTTGGTACCTCGCACTATTGTTGTCAAACTTAGATCGAGTTCGGAGATGGACAATATCGATCCACTTCTTCTGGTACCTCCCCCAAAAAAGGTCGAAATTCTTAAAAAATATTTTTCTGCACAGAAAGAGAAAGGATAATCCGATTTTGCTACAACTTTGCAAATCGTAATATTTGCATCAGTGCTAGGTCAGGTGAACAAATTGACAATGTCGATATGTATAAAGTACCTCCACACAAAGGGTCAACATTTTGAATAATTATAACTCTTATAAAATGTCATCAAATTGCACAGATTACAATATTTTGATTAACCTTAAGTCTGGGGTGATGATGGAATATAGCGGTCAACTCCATCTGGTACATCCCCCACAAAGGGTCAAAATTTTGAATATCCGTGAAGCTCATGAAATTCGAAATTAACATCCAATTCCATTTGGACTCAATATTTTTATCAACACAGGATCTGTTATAAAAATGATAGAGATCGGACAATTTCTTCTTGTACCTCCCCCACATAGGTTTCAAAATTTTAAAAAACAAAACGATCAAGGAAATCAAAACAAGCATTCATCTCTTTAAAATTTAATTTTTTATTATTTTAACTAAAACCTAGATTCTTGTAAATATTTCATTCTGTTTTTCTTTATTTTCGCAGTGTAGATCCCAGTCCCTGCATGAGGTAGACAAACTTTTGTTTGGCTTTTAGGGTTTCAAATCAATGTAGCATAAAATCTAAATAGACAAGCCGACACACCCATACCCTCGCACAGACGCACACATTTTCCTTCCCACGTACCAAACAGCATTCAAACTTTATAATACTGCGATTAGAACGAGCTAAGTTAGACCCAAGCAAATGAGAAGAAGCCAACAGAGAAACTGAACGGGTGTTAATAGAAAACAAGCTGTTGGATACTTTACCTAGCAGCAGCGAAGGCACTCAGCAATGGTATCAGGATCCTTAATGTATGTAAATTATCATTAATGGGATTTTGTATAGATGAAAATCGGTGCGTGTTAACCACCACCCAGGCGGCAGCAGAAGCAGCGTGCTGAAAACAGACATCATCAATGATGCCTAGGCAATTGGCAAAGTTCTGACTACCCATTGACAATATCGATGGATGCCATCAGCAGTGGCAACAGCAGTCTCAGGCAACGACAGACGTTAAAAATTAAAAATTATGTTAATGTTGTGTTCCGCTCCATGAAGATTAGGCAGACTGCCTGGCAGTCGGGCATTCTAAATTGCCACACCAATCTTGTAATCAAATTTCAATTACATGGATTTGAATTCATTTATTAATTAGAGAAAATTCGAAATTGATGAGCATCATCGTCATCAACACTTATTTCGATTATTAAATGGAGACAAAATCTCGACAAATGACCAGAGTTTTATCATCAGGCATCCTCATCATCCAGTATTGGTTGGTTGGCTGGCACAATTTTAATGAACCAAACAAAGAAAATTAGGCAATTAGAAAACTATTTGCTGGAAAAAAAGCTGGCCAACTGGTGGGCGATTGAAATTCTAGGAAATATTAAAATGTAAGTTTGTTGTTATTGTTGTTGATTTGAAAAATATCTTGAATATTTTATTTGTTTTAATGGCTAATTGCTGGCAATTGGATTTTATGGGCAATTGGGGGGAGGAATATTATGGAGATTTAGCTAAGGAGATTATAATGCTTCTAAAATCACGATGATGTTTGATCAACGTGAAATTCCGCATGCTGAAAATATCTTTTTCAAAATTGTTAATTAAAAATGCAGGAAAGTAGAGAGAGAAGAAGAAGAGAGAGGTGGGAAGAGAGAGAGAGAGAAGAAGGAGAGAGAGAGGAAGGCATACAGAGGAATGAGGAAGAAATGTCATTGACCCCATGTCCAAAGGTCACTGACGACTTCTCTTCCCACCTCTCTCTCTTCTTCTCTCCCCTCCTCTCCCACTCTTCTTCTTTCTCTTTATATTCCTCATATCTCTCTTCCTTTCTCTCTTTCTTCCTTTCCCTATCTCTATCTCTTCCTCTCCCTGTCGGGGGGTCATTGTGCCTATGTCCAGAGGTCATTGATCTTGAAAAGGGGTCAATGAACTCTCTTCCCTTCCTCTTCATATCTCCCTCTTCCTTTCTCTGTCTCTTCCTCTCTCTCTTTTCTTCTCTCTCTCTCTTCATTTCTCCCTTCCCCTCTCTCTCCTCCTCTCCCACTCTTTTTCTTTCTCTTCATATCTCTCTTTTCATTTCTCTCTCTCTTCCTCTCTCTATCTCTATTTCTGCCTCTCTTCCTCTCCCTGTCAGGGGGTCATTGTCCCTAAGTCCAGAGGTCATTGATCTTGATATGGGGTCAATGACCTCCCTCTCTCTCTCCCTCTTACTCTCTCTCTCATCCGCTCTCTCTCTCTTCCTCTCTCCCTCTTCCTCTCCTAACGAAAATTAGAGAGACTAAGAGAGAGAGAGAGAGGAGAAGTGAGAGGAAACGAGATAGGAAGAGGAAGAGAGAGAGATAGAGAGAGATAAAAAGATAAAGAGAGGTCCTTGACCCATATCAAGGTCAATGACCTCTATACATAGGGTCAATGACCCCCTGACAGGGAGAGGAAGAAAGAGAAGAAGAGAGAGAGAGGGAGGAAGAGAGAGAGATAGAGAGAGGGGAAGAGAGACAAGTTATTCATTGGCCCCATATCAAAGTCAGTGACCTCTTGACATGGGATCCTCTCTCGTCCTCCTCCTCTTCCTCACCCTCTTCTATTTCTTCTCCCTCTTCCTCTCTCTCCCTCTCTCCTTCTCTCTCCCTCTCTCCCTCTCTTCCTCTCTTCCTCTCTTCCTCTCTCTCCCTCTCTCCTTCTCTCTCCCTCTCTTCCTCTCTTCCTCTCTCATCCTCTCCCTCATCCTCTCCTTCTTCCTCTCCTTCTTCCTCTCTCGCTCCTTCTTTCCATCCATCGCTCTTCACCTCTCTCCCTCTCCCTTTGACCCCTGACATGGGGTCAATAAGAATTATATCTTGATCTCTCCCTCTTCGTCTCCCCTCTCTCTATTATTCTCTCTCTCTCTTTGACCCCCCTGGCATGGGGTCAATGACCACTCTTCCTCTCTCTCAACTTCTTACTCTCTCTTTCTCTCTTCAACCCCTGACATGGATTCAATGACCTTGACATGGGTCAATCCATTTCATTCTTTACAATGTTACCCTATATAATCTTAGAATTTTTAAGAACACATTTTCAAACTATAAATAACAATTAAGGCATGCCCATAAATTTTAATTGAAGTTCAAATTTTTTATTGCAGTTTCAAAACAACCATATCATTGTCTTCAATGTGGCTTCTTGAACCAAACAATGCTTGTTGCAATCTCAAAGCCCAGTTTACGATGTAACTGCATTGACCGTTCATTGTGAACAACGACAAAGGTAAACAAATCTAAATTGTGAAGTTTGAGTAACCGTTTAAGCTCCAGTTTCATAATCAGTGCGCCATAGCCCTTGCGCCGTTCCGACGGCATAGTATAGAGGAATCTGAAAATGCAAAAATTCGTTAGTTTTTTCTTAAAAGAAAATTTAAATTCTCTATAATAGAATCATACCCTGGTGACAAGAATTCATTCTCCAGGATCCAACACAGAGGCTGACTTTCACCGCGCCGAAACAGACCCAGACCACCATTGAATTCGATCGATTGTCGCACTAAACCCAATGAGGTTTCGTTTTTGTACTTCCAATTTTCGTTAATTGTGACAGCATGTTTTTCAGCATCCAGGTGTGCAACATACAAATCTTCGGGAAGTATTCTGAAAAGAAGGATAATATGTTAAGATTTTATAAAATAAAATCGAAAAAATACATGAAAACGATAAAAATATTGCGATTTGTCCAATTTGAAGACAATCAGACTCTTACATCTTATTTTATAAAAATTATAATTATTCAAAATTTTGACCCTTTGTCCATATTGCCCATTTTCGCCTTGACCTAGGACGGATGCAAATATTAGGATTTGCAAAGTTGGAGCAAAATTGGGTTATCCTTTCTCTTTCTGTGCAGCAAAATATTTTTTTGAACATTTCGACCTCTTGTGGGGGAGGTACAAGAAGGAGTGGACCGATATTGCCTATCTCCAAACTCGATCTAAGTTTGATAATAATATTTCAATGTACCAAGTTTGGACTAAATCGAGTACTCCCTGCAAGCGTTATCGTACGCACCAGCCAGACAGACGGATGGACATCGCTGGATCGACTCCAAATGTCCTGAAACGGATTTGGTCCAAAGAGACCTAGGGTCTAAAACCGATGAGGCACGTTTTGGCCAAATGGCTGAGGGTATACAAATGTTTACCCTAAACCTTAGGGTAAAGAAAACATTAGAACTCATTATGACCCACAAATAACAATTTTTAGGCAAATTCGTTATTATATAAAAATTATAATTATTCAAAATTTTGACCCTTTGTCCATATTGCCCATTTTCGCCTTGACCTAGGACGGATGCAAATATTAGGATTTGCAAAGTTGGAGCAAAATTGGGTTATCCTTTCTCTTTCTGTGCAGCAAAATATTTTTTTGAACATTTCGACCTCTTGTGGGGGAGGTACAAGAAGGAGTGGACCGATATTGCCTATCTCCAAACTCGATCTAAGTTTGATAATAATATTTCAATGTACCAAGTTTGGACTAAATCGAGTACTCCCTGCAAGCGTTATCGTACGCACCAGCCAGACAGACGGATGGACATCGCTGGATCGACTCCAAATGTCCTGAAACGGATTTGGTCCAAAGAGACCTAGGGTCTAAAACCGATGAGGCACGTTTTGGCCAAATGGCTGAGGGTATACAAATGTTTACCCTAAACCTTAGGGTAAAGAAAACATTAGAACTCATTATGACCCACAAATAACAATTTTTAGGCAAATTCGTGGGAAATTGTGGCAAAAATCATCAAAATGCCAAATATCGGAAGCAGTGTGACCGCTGGAAATTTTCAAAAAGTATCACAAAAAGTATCATTTCTTAAAAAAAGTGGCACATATCACTTTAAATGGTGGCACATAAAGTGGCACAATTTATTTCACATTTAATTTAAAACAAGTAAAAAAGTTGTAAGTTCGGCCGGGCCGAACTTTGAATACCCTCTTTTCACAAAAAAAAATAAAATAAAATCGGTTAAAAATTCTGTTAAAATCTTAAAAATACCGAATGTAGCCGTATATTAGGGTCTATACGACGACGTGGGTCTGCATAGGTAAATTTTGTCATAAGCTATTATAATATTTAAATGCGAAACTTGAAAAAAAAAATCTGTTTATAATGTAGCTAAAATAAATAAAATACCGAATATAGGGAGGTGCATTGGGGTTATAAAACGTGAACCTGCACAGACAATTTTCCGGCATAGGCTGTAGTATCCATTACGAAGTACAAATACAGAATTTGAAATAATTCCCGTAAATAATGTCGCTAAAATCATCAAAATACCGAATATCAGGGTACCGTTATATAGAGGCTATAAGAAGACGTAAACCTACATAGACAATCTCCTGTCATATGCTTTAGTATCTATTACGAACTTCAAATACCAAGTTTGAAACAATTCCGATAAAAAATGTCGCTAAAATCATCCAAATGCCGAATATCGGGGGTACCGTTATATGGGGGCTATACGAAGACGTAGACCTGCACTTATTTCAACTTACTTCATTTCGTTCGGAAGCTAGAGTGATTTCCACAGACGGACAGACGGAGGGCACAATGTATAAAAAAGTGGCACAAAAATTCAAAAAAGTGGTTCATTTAGGATCAAAATAAAAAAGTGGCACAAAGGTATCAAAGCCCAAAAAAAGTAGCAAAATTGATACTTTAGTGGCACAACGGTCACGCTGATCGGGAGGTACCGTTATATGGGGGTATACCAAAACTTGGACCTATGCATACAATGTTTCGCCACAGGAGCAGAACCCATTACCAATACCAATTTTTAGACAAATCCGTGAACAAATGTTGCAAAAATCATCAAAATATCGAATATCGGAAGGTACCTTTATATGGGGACTACAACAAATCGTGGACCGATATATATCATTCTCAATACCAACCATCCTAGAGACAATACAAATTGTTCTAATGTTATGTTACAAACGGAATAACAAAGTTAATATACCCTCCTTTCTAAGGTGAGGAGTATAAAAGTAATGATTGTGGCCGTCAAAGTAAATACAGAAGACCTAAAAACTATTTCTATTTAACTCCTTTAAAAGTCTTCCTGCTGATGTACAGAATAAAGGCCTTCCATAGACGAAAGATCTGTTTAGGTATTTTAACCTCTTATGGATCCTCCATTGATGGGCGATTTTAACAGAGAAATTTTTTGTGCTGAAAACCTATTACTCCTCTGTTGAGAGAAAATATTTAATTGACTCCTTGGATCATATACAGGTCTTCTTTTTGTAGCTACATTTTATTCCACTTACTCGTCTACTTTTAGTGCAGCAATCTTTTCCTTTGTTATATACATTATGTTCTCCAAAGAGTAACATTCCCAAGCTATATCCAATCTTTGGGGTAGCATTTCTTTCATCAGTGGAATTATGCTTTCATCGCATATCACATACATCGGTTTGGCTTGCCATTCAATTAAATTTGTCTTAGCAAGACATTCCCTCAGTTCCTCTTGGGATTCTTGTAGGCTAAAACATAAGACAATGTAATCCTGGAAAAAGAAATAACAACAAGAAATCGTATTTATCATTTATCTAAAAAAAAATCTCAACTTCCATCTTACCCCAAAACCATTCAAACTTATTAGCGTGCAATTATCCAGATTACCATAGCGATGCGTGTAGAGTCTCAAATTCCATTGTCCCGATTTCAAATGTTCTCGATTTGCATTTATGCGCTCGTAATGATAGAGATAACTGTAAATGAAATTGTGTTGTTGTATACGACGCGGTAGCTGGGATTTGAGAATATCCAACATTGTCCTCAGCTGTTGCTGGGAACATTCCAAGAGAATATCCAACATTTTGATGATTTTTTTTCGAATGGAAAAGTAGGAAGTACTCTTAAACGCCGTAAACAATTAACAAAGTCGTCTGTTTTGATATCGAATCAATTTGTATTTTTAAATCAACTGTAGAGATAAGCTATCACTGATTTCCACTAAAACATAATTGATCTTATCTATGTTTAGTTCAAATCATAATTATCCGACCGACTACGAAAAAAACGTACCGGAAACGATTAATTTGTCAGTTTTAGTGGAGGAATAAGTGCTGCCAATGTTCAGACTTTCATAACACTTGATATTTACGGTAATAGGAATCCAACCTCACTCTTCCCTTGTCAATTTAATTCTGGTTTTTATTTAAAAATATGTTCCTAAACTACTACTGAAACTAATCCAATTTAACCTAATCGCAGCCACACAAGTTATCTTATCTATTCTGATGTTGGATGGAAAACATTGCAGGGCTGTTTGTTCCATCATTCAAGTGGTCTTGGCTGTCCACTGAACACATCGATATCTATGTGTTTAGGTCATAACCTTTATTATCTTACACATTATCGTCTGCGCATGTTAGAAGAATACAGGTCAACACTTGGAAATTTTTTAATGTTTTTGTTTTCAAAAAATGGTAGATTTTTATATTTTTCTTTTACGTCGCCAATCGAAGGTTGTTATGACGATGCGACTACCTGTACTCTTCTACCATGCGTATGCGGCAGCGCACAAGATCACTGCCCAGTTTTATTGTAGCTGAATAATTAATCATTTTTATTTTTGGAATATTTAGTTCTTAGATTTTCCCAGCGGAAATTTTTAAGTCAAAAATTCTAAAATCTTAAGAAAAACAAGTTAAAAAGCCGTAAGTTCGGCCGGGCCAAACTTTATATACTCTCCACCATTTGGAACAAATTTGTCAATTTTCAAAAAAAAAAAAAAAAAATCGTTAAAAATTCTGTTAAAATCTTAAAAATACCGAATGTAGCCGTTATATTATAATATATACGACGACATGAACCTGCATAAGCAACTTTTGTCATAAGTAATTACAATGTTTAAATGCTCAGCTCGAAAAAAAATCGGTGAATAATGTCGCAAAAATCGTCTAAATACCGAATATCGGAGGGTGCCGCTATATGTAAGCTATATGTAGACGTGGACCGGAAAAGACAATTTTCTGTCTTAGGCTGTAGTATCCATTACGAATTTCAAACACCAAATTTGAAACATTTCCGGTGAATAATGTCGCTACAATCATCAAAATACCGAATATCGGGGGGTGCCGCTATATGGGAGCTATACGAAAACATGGACTTGCACAGAAAATTTCCTGTCATAGGCTGTAGTATCTATTACGAACTTCAAATACCAAATTTGAAACAATTCCGGTCAATAATGTCGCTAAAATCATCAAAATACCGAATATCGGAGGGTGCGGCTATATAGGAGCTATACGCAGACGTTGACCTGCACAGACAAGTTTCTGCCATAGGCTGGAGTATCTCTTACGAACTTCAAACACCAAATTTGAAACATTTCCGGTGAATAATCTCGCTTTAATCATCAAAATGCGGAATATAGGGAGGTACCATTATATGGGGACTATACGAAGAAGTGGACCTGCACAGATAATTTTCTATCTTAGGCTGTAGTATACATTAGGAACTTCAAACTAAAATCATCAAAATACCGAATATTGGGAGGTTCCGTTATATGAGGGCTACACGAAGACGTGGACCAGCACCTACAATCTCCTGTCATAGGCTGTAGTATCCATTACGAACTTTAATAATGTCGCTAAAATCATCAAAATACCGAATATTGGGGGTTGTCGCCATATGGTGGCTATACGAAGACGTGGACCTGCACAGACAATTTTATGTCTTAGGCTGTAGTATCCATAGCGAACTTCAAATATCAAATGTGAACATTTTCGATGAATAATGTCGCTTAAATCACCAAAATACCGAAAATAGGGAAGTACCATTATATGCGGGCTATACCAAAACGTGGACCTACATGGCCTATTTTCAATACTAAAAGTCCTGCAGACATAATATACATTTAAGTAAAATTTTATCAATCTACTTTATTTCTTTCGGAAGCTAGAGTGATTTCCACAGACGGGCGGACAATCGACATAGAATTTTATGCTGATCAAGAATATTTATACTTTGTGGGGTCTAAAATTTATTTTTCGAAGTGTTACAAACGGAACGACAAACTTAATATACCATCCATGCTATGGTGGAGGGTATAAAAACACAAGACATATTGTGGTATGGCATGGCCAAAAATTTTTATTTAGATTTAAATTTTCTATTGCTCTTTTAAAACACCCATTTCATTGTCTTTAATGTGGCTTGCCGAACCAAACAATTCGTGTGGCAATTTCAAAACCCAATTTACGATGTAACTGCAATGACCGCTCATTGGTGACAATGACATAGGTAAACAAGTCCAAATTGTGGAGTTTGAGTAGACGCTTAAGTTCCAGTTTCATAATTAATTCGCCATAACCTTTGCGCCGTTCCGATGGCATGGTATAGAGGAAACTGAAAATACAATAAGTCATTATTTTTTCTCTAAGAAAATATAAGTTTTATTCACGAAAGCATACCCTGGAGACAAAAATTCATTTTCCAGCATCCAGCAAAGCGGCTGACTTTCGCCGCGGCGAAACAGTCCCAGACCACCATTGAATTCTATAGATTGACGCACTAAACCCAAGGAATTTTCATATTTGTGAGTCCAATTTTCGTTAATTGTGGCGGCATGTTTTTCAGCATCCAGGGGTGCAACATATAAATCCTCGGGTATGATTCTGGAGACGAAAAAATGTGTTAAGATTTTATTAAATAATACAAACAAGTAAAAAAGTTGTAAGTTCGGCCGGGCCGAAATTTGAATGCACTCCACCATTTGGAACGAATTTGGCAATTCTTAAAAATCAAAAAATCGGTTAAAATTTCTGTTAAAATCTTAAAAATACCGAATGTAGCTGTTATATATAGGGTCTATGCGACGACATGGACCTGCGTAGGTAATTTTTGTAACAAGCCATTACTATATTCAAATGCGAATCTTAAAAAAATCGGTGAATAATGTAGTTAAAATCATAAAAATACCGAATATCGGGAGGTACCGTTATATGGGGGCTATACGAAGATGTGAACCTGCACAGACAATCTCCTGCCATAGGCTGTAGCATCCATGTCGAACTTCAAATACCAATTATGAAATAATTCCGGGGAATAATGTCGCTAAAATCATCAAAATACCGAATATAAGGAGGTACTGTTATATGGGGGCTATACGAAGACGTGGACCTGCACAGACAATCTCCTGTCATGGGCTGTAGCATCCATTTCGAACTTCAAATGCCAAATTTGAAACAATTCCGGTCAATAATGTCGCTAAAATCATCAAAATACCGAATATCGGAGGGTGCCGCTATATGGGAGCTATACGCAGACGTTGACCTGCACAGACAATTTTCTCTCATAGGCTGGAGTATCTATTACGAACATCAAATACCAAATATCGGAGGGTTCCGATATATGGGAGCTATACGCAGACGTTGAACTGCACAAACAATTTTCTGTCTTATCCATTACGAACTTCAAACACCAAATTTGAAGCAATTCCGGTAAATAATGCCGCTAAAATCATCAAAATACCGAATATCGGGAGGTACCGTTATATGAGGGCTATACGAAGACGTGGACCTGCACAGACAATTTCCTGTCATAGGCTGTAGTATCGATTACGAACTGCAAATACCAAATTTGAAACAATTCCGGTGAATAATGTCGTTAAAATCATCAAAATACCGAAAAACGTGGACCTACATGGCCCATTTTTAATACCAAAAGTCCTGCAAACATAATATACATTTAAATAAAATTTTATCAACCTACTTCATTTCGTTCGGAAGCTAGAGTGATTTCCACAGACAAACAGACGGACGGACATCGCTAAATCGACATAGAATTTTATGCTGATCAAGAATATACATATATACTTCGTTGGGTCTAAAATGTATATTTCGAGGTGTTACAAACGGAATGACAAACTTAATATACCCTCCATACTATGGTGGAGGGTATAAAACCATAACACATATTGTGGTATGGCATGGCCATAAATTTTTATTTAGATTTAAATTTTGTATTGCTCTTTTAAAACACCCATTTCATTGTCTTTAATGTGGCTTGCCGAACCAAACAATTCGTGTGGCAATTTCAAAACCCAATTTACGATGTAACTGCAATGATCGTTCGTTGGTGACAATGACATAGGTAAACAAGTCCAAATTGTGGAGTTTGAGTAGACGCTTAAGTTCCAGTTTCATAATTAATTCGCCATAACCTTTGCGCCGTTCCGACGGCATGGTATAGAGGAAACTAAAAATACAATAAGTCATTATTTTTTCTCTAAGAAAATGTAAAGTTTTATTCATGAAAGCATACCCTGGAGACAAAAATTCATTTTCCAGCATCCAGCAAAGCGGCTGGCTTTCGCCGCGGCGAAACAGTCCCAGACCACCATTGAATTCGATAGATTGACGTACTAAACCCAAGGAATTTTCATATTTGTGAGTCCAATTTTCGTTGATAGTGGCGGCATGTTTTTCAGCATCCAGGGGTGCAACATATAAATCCTGGGGTAGGATTCTGAAAAGGAAGAAATTGTGTAGATTTTATAAAATAATAAAAACAAGTAAAAAAACTGTAAGTTCGGCCGGGCCGAAGTTTGTATGCCCTCCACCATTTGGAACGAATTTGGCAATTCTTAAAAATCATAAAATCGGTTAAAAATTCTGTTAAAATCTTAAAAATACCGAATGTAGCTGTTATATATAGGTTCTATGCAACGACATGGACCTGTGTAGGTAATTTTTGCAATAAGCCATTACTATATTCAAATGCGAAACTTAAAAAAGTCGGTGAACAATGTAGCTAAAATCATCAAAATATCGAATATCGGGAGATACCGTTATATTGAGGGCTATGCGAAGACGTGGACCTGCACAGACAATTTTCTGTCTTAGGCTGTAATATCCATTACGAACTTCAAATACCAAATTTGAAACAATTCCAGTGAATAATGTCGCTAAAATCATCAAAATACCGAATATAAGGAGGTACTGTTATATGGCGGCTATACGAAGACGTGAACCTGTACAGACCATTTTTTGTCTTATGCCGTAGTATCCATTACGAACTTCAAGTACCAAATTTGAAACAATTCCGCTGAATAATGTCGCTAAGATCATCAAAATACCGAATATGGGGAGGCATCGTTGTATGGGGGCTTTACCAAAACCATGGCCCAATTTTCATACCGAAAGTCCTGCAGATTAGTATACATTTGAGTAAAATTTTATCAACCTACTTCAATTCGTTTGGAAGCTAGAGTGATTTCCACAGACGTCAAACGGACATCGCTGAATCGACATTGAATTTTACGCTCATCAAGAATATAAATACTTTGTGGGGTCTAAAATGTATATTTCGAGGTGTTACAAACGGAATGACACACTTAATATACCCTCCATACTATGGTAGAGGGTATAAAAATAATATTTTTGAAAAATTCACGGCTCTCTAAGTATATTCAGAAGTAATTAAAAGTTATTCTATTAACGGAAGACCTCTTAGGGTCTTTTATACATAAGAAACCTCTTATAGGATTCACCATTCAAAGACGATGTCATTAAAACTTGCATTCAGTGTATCTTCTAGATACCATTTGAACGTATTCTTCTATAGACAGAAGCTCACCCATGGATCCTCTTTTGACAGAAAACATTTCATTGGTTTTATTGGACCATCTACGGCTCTTCCTTCTGTATAGCAACATATTTATTTATTCCTTAGGTAGAAAAAGGCCTCTGCGCCACTAATGCATTTTCGAGGACCATTTATATGCAAGAAATACTAATCAAATTTTAAAATGTTCAAAAAAAAATGGTTTTAAAGATTTATCACAAAAGCTCATCAACATTTCCTAACAGATACTTTTTAATTTCTGATCCATAAAGTAAATAAATCTTTATTCGACTTACTCATCAACTTGTAGTGCAGCAATCTTTTCCTTTGTTATATACATTATATTTTCAAACGGCGTACAATCCCAATCTATATTCAACCTCAGAGGAAGCATCTCTTTCATCAGTGGAATTATACTTTCATCGCAGATCAAATACATACGTTTGGCACGCCATTCGATTAAATTCGTTTTGGCAAGGCATTCTCTTAGCTCCTCTTGGGATTCTTGCAGGGTAAAACATAACACAATGTAATCCTGAAAAAACAACAGCAATTCAATTCTTCTGAATCTTGGAAAAATAAGACAAAACTTACCCCACAACCATTCAAAGTTATAAGCGTACAATTCTCCAGCTTGCCATAGCGATGGGTATAGAATCTCAAATTCCATCGTTCCGATTTCAGCTGTTCTCGATTTGCATTTATGCGCTCGTAATGATAGAGATAACTGTAAATGAAATTATGTTGTTGTATACGACGCGGTAGCTGCGATTTGAGAATATCCAACATTGTCCTCAACTGTAGCTGGGAACATTCCAAGAGAATATCCGACATTTTGATGATTTTTCAATGGAAAACTAGCCAGGGCAGTCAGTCCAACGACTGCAACGGAATCACAAAGGCGTCTGCTTTGATATCGATTTGATTTGTATTTTTCCACAAATCATTTCTGTTTGTATGAATGGAGAGTGCTTAGCCGGTGAATTGCTTTGAAAGAAATGCTTTTGATTAGTCTGCACACAAGTTCATTGTAAACTACAATAAAAATAAAAATTGCCAAGCTAGAAAACAGCTGTTGAGATAAGCTATCACTAATTGTATACTAATTCAATTGTTAACCGAAACACATTCAACACATTCATACACACGACTGTATATTAGAACATATTTCTGTTGGCAATAGATTTAATTTGAGAGGGCCCAAAGAAAGTCACCTCAGCAAGCAGATTATAACCCCAACAAGTATTTTAGTTTCTAGACCAAAGGTTCTATTGGTTCTATTTACTGCAACCTAAAAACAAAATTCACAAAAATCATTAGTCTTCGGACTTCCAAAACGTGGATATATATTAACGGCAATACGTACAAACTAATCCAAAGTTGTCTTCGAAGTCTAGGGCAATAACCTGGGGGATACTTCCATTTTAGTTCAAATTGAATATGCAGTAAAGTGGGTTTAATACAAATTTTAATTTCTAAGACAGGTTTTTAGTCAAACTCCCACTAACTGACCCTCAGTTTTTTGTGGTGCTTAATATACCTTGATCTTCACTTGAAATGATGGCCTTTTGTTTTAACTTATTTATTATTTACATAAATCCATTACCTTCAACATAAAACCACAATCTTAACGCCATCAAATATGAAAGCTGTCAATATTCATTGCATTCATTGGCAAATCTTTGTCATAATGACAAATTAATGAATATCCTGACACGATGTGTAACCGCATCGATTTACATGGCATACCACAACTAAAAAGGGGTTTTATTTTAAACCATTACACAACAAAAACACGCACGCGCACACAAATTTCAATGCATTTTAGAATTCGACCGGAGCGAACTTTTAATACCTTCCACTATTTTGAAGGAACTTGAAAATTAAAAAAAAAAACTAACCCTCTCTTATAGGGGGGCCTATACGAAGACGTGTTTTTCTTCTCTTTACACACTCTTCAGGGGGAAAACATTTTAGTTTTACCGGAAACAAACTTTTGTACCCTTTACCAGGCGGAGAGGATCAGGAGAAACCACAAAATGCCCATCTTCTCCAAAAACTCGGAATTCAAAGAATAGTGTTAGCATTCATAACAAAATAGGAAACCAATTTCATGTTTTAATTGAGAATGGTAACGCCGCTACACTGGATATATACTAAATCCAACATTTGATATTAACATTTTCATGCATTCAAGCAAAGCAAAGAAGAAGTTGAAGTGTCGTTATATGGGGGCTATACGAAGACGAGGACTTGCAAACGCAATTTTTTGTCATATGTTGAAGCATCCATTACGAACTTCAAATACGTAAATTGACAAATTCCATCGAATAATCTCGCTAAAATCATCAAAAAAAATTTTTTTATCAACCTACTTCATTTCGTTCGGAAGCTAGAGTGATTTCCACAGACGGACGGACATCGCCAATATCATTACATTATTTTAATAGGATTATTGTAATGCTATGTACTACTTTATTTTGGCCTGAAGGCTTCTGTGTTACAAGCGAATATATAAATAAATAAAATAAATAAATCGACATAAACTTTTATGCTGATCAAGAATATATGTACTTTATGGAGTTACAAACGGAATGACAAACTTAATATACCCTCCATACTATGGTGGAAGGTATAAAAATGATTTGGGTGAAAATGAGAGATTTTAGAAATTGAATTAGAAAAGTACACTCTTTAAGGGGGAAATGATTTTAGTTTTACCGGAAACAAACTTTTGTATGCTTTACCAAGCGGTGTAAGTGATACAACAAAATACCCATCCTTTGCAAAAACTCAAACTTAGTCGCCTGCATTGTTTTTTTGTGTGAAAGTTAGCTGCTCGTTCAAAAACAAACTTCCAAATTCGAAAACTTATGGAAAAATTAAAATAAAACCTGTAAATGCTTCCAAAAAGACAATCTAACTATTAAAGGATGTTTACCAAAGAGATTTTGAAGGCCTTTTACAGAATTTTAAACTAGGTCCTTGAAGAGAAATTAAAGCCATTTCTATAAATCTTAAAATGCTTATATCTATAAAAGATTTTTCTATCTTTGAAAGACTTTAAGGTTTTTATATCTTTAGGAGACAGAATTCCTATACAAGAAATTTAGAACGGAAGACTTTTCACAGCTCTTCTATAGAAGGTCTTTAACAGGTATTCAGAAAAATGCCTCCGAAAGCTCTTTTAACTGCTCTTCGGCTTCTTTGGGCTCTCAAAAGCTTTTCTACAAAAGGCCTTATATTTTCTATTGGTCTTCAACTGCTCTTCTTTGAAAAGCCTTCAAGAATTCATCTATAGAAAGACTACAAGCTCTTCCGATTTTAGATATAATAAATTGATTATAATTTTACTCACATACATACTTTGAAAAAAATGTATAATAAAAAGATATATTAAACCGAAAATGTAAAATTGGTTGGAATAGAATTGGTGTTATTACCAGAAACAAAAACATTAAAAGGTACTTTAGTGTTGAATTGTGATCATCATCTGATTTGTGAATTGCTTCTGTCACATTCTTGTTTTGCTATTGCATCATACAGCCTTAAGTTCGTTTTCACAGAGCATTTAAAAAAATAAAATATAATTGAATAGCTCACATCAATGTAATGATTAGTGTATCCGTTGAAAACCAGTTTAGATAGTAGTAGAAGAATGCAGGTAGATGCATCAACAATTGTGAACATTGATATGCCAAAAATATTATAAAATATGTTCAAATATAAATAGATTTTAATATAATTTCTTATACGATGCGGTTCTGAGGTTGATATGGTATGTGATTTTCAACAAATTTCACTAATTTAAACAATTTTTCATTCCACAGTTTGAATTCCAAATTTTAATTCCAAATTTTTGAAAGCTTATTGAACCAGCAACTTTTTTGATGGGCTTACCTATATCATTTTATCATGGATAGTAGATACTTTTGTATTTTTTTCTATCCCATTTTTAAAAACTCCATTTGACAATTCTTTGACATCCCTATAGTTTTCTTTAAAATTTCTTCAAACTTTATATCCAATTCCGTCTATGTAATTCACATTTGATGCAAATATATACAAATACATGTAATTACAAAAATTGTACAAACAAATTTTATTCTTGTAATGTTCTCTTTCAAGATGTTTATATCTTCCTTCAAAACGTTTAACACTTAAAAAACCAATATTTTATTACTGTATATCAATTTCCATGTAACCATCGGCATGTGTTAAATGTTTTGCCTCCAATTGTGATCCTTCGTCCACAATGAAATTGGCACCAACTAAACAATTTTTCAGTTTTGTACCCTTCTTGACAACGGCCTTTGGACCAATAATACAGTTATCGATATTACATCTGCAAAAAAAAAAACAATTAAGGAAAATGTACTAAAAATATTTTGAATAATCGTACCCCTCCTCCACAATTGCATGGGCCATAATCAGCGATTTATTAACAATATTCTTGGGATTAATAAAGCAATTTGGACCGAATACACTGAAATTCAGTGAAGTCTTTTCCGAGAGTTTGGCATTATCAGCCACGGCAATTTCTTTAGTCTGTGTTGAGTTGACAACAGCATTGGGGGAAACTAAAGGCAATTCCAAGCCACCACAAAGTATAGGCCAAATAGATGAGAGCTAATGGAAACGCACAATGAAATCAATTTAAATAATCGAACAATCGATTCCTTTACCTTTTGATTAATGGCAAAGAATGACAGCGTCGTGTTGACTCGCACACCAATTGCTTCTTTTGGAGCCTCCAGGGCATAACATCTCAAAATATCACCATTATACAGGGGTTTTGTTCGATTATCATTGAAGAGAGTTGTTTTGAATATTTGTTGTTCCAAATTTGATTGTGGTATAAACTGAAATGGTAGAAAGAATAGTTTGATATAAAAATATAGAGATCAATATTTCTCTGTGCATTACTTACATCGAAAATGTTATCACCTTGTTTGGTTCCCAGGCCCAATTCAGACTGTGTATCGGATACAGGATTTGTTGTCGAGTGACCACTTGCTTTGGCCATTTGTTTTTTAATTAAATATGGCAAAAATTCACCCTTCAGGGTGGAGAAATTTTCATTCTGCAAAAAAAAAAAAAAAATATACTTGAATTAGGAATTCTCAAGTTACTATTCATACCGATTAAGTTGGATGATCTAAAGTAGTACAACTGTCATACGACAAAAGACATGGATATAAAGTTAATGACAATGGAATTAGCAACAATATTAGCGCTATTTTGTCTGCTAACAAGGCACATTAGCGCATCGATAAGTGAAAGTGTTTAAGTCGACATTCTGGGCATTTAAAAGGCAGCGGAGGCCATGGAAGTCATTAAAAGTATCATTAGAAAGGCGATACCTATACATGTCAGTAGTCAAAGACCGGGTACCAAAAACTAGAAAATCCTCCAAGTTTGTTCTGGTTTTGAAACATACTATTTTTCTATGTTTGGGAATGAAGCGACATATAAACTACCTAGTGAGGCTCAAACCATCAATTATTGGAAGCAGACGACACTTGAAATAGGCCTACCATGGGCACTATTATGGTTGATAGTTGGGAAAATACTTTAATGTTTTTTTTTAGAAAATGGACCCCAATCCCATCATTAGCTTTCTCAAAGACTTTATATCGATTTGACAAAAAAACCTCTATGTACTAACAAGTAAAAAAGCTGTAAGTTCGGCCGGGCCGAACTTTGAATACCCTCCACCATTTGGAACGAATTTGGCAATTCTCAAAAACAATAAAAGCCATTAAAAATTCTGTTAAAATCTTAAAAATACCGAATGTAGGGTCTATAGGACGACATGGACCTGCATAGGTAATTTTTGTCATAAGCCATTAGAATATTCAAATTTGAAAATTAAAAAAAAATTGGTGAATAATGTAGCTAAAATCATCAAAATCCCGAATATCGGGAGGTACTTTTATATGGGGTCTATACGAAGACGTGGACCTGCACAGACAATTTTCCGACGTAGGCTGTAGTATCCATTACGAACTTCAAATACCAAATTTAAAACAATTCCGGTGAATAATGTCGCTAAAATCATCAAAATACCGAATATCGGAAGGTACCGTTATATGGGAGCTATACGAAGACGTGGATCTGCACAGACAATTTTCTGACGTAGGCTGTAGTATCCATTACGAACTTCAAATACCAAATTTAAAACAATTCCGGTGAATAATGTCGCTAAAATCATCAAAATACCGAATATCGGGAGGTACCGTTATATAGGGGCTATACAAAGACGTGGACCTGCACAGATAATTTTCTGTCTTAGGCTGTAGTATCCATTACCAACTTCAAATACCAAATTTAAAACAATTCCGGTGAATAATGTCGCTGAAATCATCAAAATACCGAATATCGGGAGGTACCGTTATATGGGGGCTATACGAAGACGAGGACCTGCACAGACAATCTCCTGTCATAGACTGTAGCATCCATTTCGAACTTCAAATACCAAATTTGAAACAATTCCGATGAATATTGACGTTAAAATCATCAAAATACCGAATATCGGCAGGTACCATTATATGAGGGCTATACCAAAACGTGGAACTACATGGCCCATTTTCAATACCAAAAATTCTGCAGACATAATATACATTTCAGTAAAATTTTATCAATCTACTTTAATTCCTTCTGGAACTAGAGTGATTTCCACAGCGATGTCCGTCCATCGCTATCGACATAGAATGTTATGCTGATCAAGAATATATATACTTTGTGGGGTCAAAAATGTATATTTCGAGGTGTTACAAACGGAATGACAAACTTAATATACCCTCCATACCACTTACCTGTTTCAAAAACTCCAATACCCATTTCTTCATAACATAAATATGAGAGTCTGTCATCCTTGAATATATTGTCATTTTACCGTTCTTCCTCAGCAAGTGGGCATTAACACTCATCACCTCTTCGAAATCACTTGCGGAGGCCAGAAACAGTAAACGTCTAGTTTCCGGATGTATGCCAATCAAATCTCTCTCCGGTTTATGTTTTGTCTTGGGACCTGGCAACGTAACATCCGATTCAAAACCACTTTTGAACAACAAAGCCGTAAATGAGGCATCATGTTGACGGAATTTGTTAATTAAAGGAAACAAACTGACATTGGAAACAATGTCACAGCTGAGGACTAGGAAGTCCGATTGAATCTTATCGTGAATATAACGCAAACTGTCGGCAGTACCGAAATCACTGTCTGTGGGAATGCTAACAAAATCCAGTTTCATTTTTAGCGATGTCTTCTCCAGAGCCAATTGGATTTCGCTGCGTTCACTTTCCAAGACAATGATTATGACCTCTAGAATGAATTTTATTTCGGATTAACTCATATTTTATTCAAACCATTTGCCACATACCTTGGAAATTATGCGTTTGCAGCAGATTTAGTGGGTACCACAACAAGGGGTATGGACCAACTGGAAGAAGACATTTGGGAGTCTTTCCCAATACTTCGGGCAGACGAGTACCACGTCCCGCAGCCAAGACAACAGCCTGAAATTCTTGTGTGACCATTTTTCTATTGTTTCAGTCAAGGTTCTCCCAATTGTTAAATCCCAACACCACCGTTCGAAAAGTATGCAATTCTTCACACGTCGGCCAAAATGTCAAAATCAGCTGTTTGTTTTGTTTTCTTCTGGTGCGTTGCCAATTGTTATTTAGACAACAATTATCAATGCAAGTCCGGCAACGCAGCAGAGGTCTTCGCGGCAACAGCGTTGACAATTGAATATATAGACAACGGAATGTTGTTTTCTTTTTATCCAGATGGCTCTTAGCACGCTTTTGCATGGCCAGTCGACCTACACAAATTCGAAACACACATTTACTGGTTGAGTGACTTCATTTTTATACCCTCCACAATACACAGTATGGAGGGTATAATAAGTTCGTCATCCCTTTTTTAACTCATCGAAATAATTGCATAAAATTTCATTCTAAAATCAAAAATCAAGCACAGATCAGTCTTTTGCCCGCAGACTGGGCTATATCGGACCTCGATATCGTATAGCCCCCATATAACGGTACCCGCCGATATTCGGTGTTTTGATGATTGCAGCCAAAATTTTCAATTAAACTGTCTGAAAATCCACGAAAGGAGTTCCTTCTGAGCACTTTACCCCCTGGAAGAGAAATGTCTATATAGGTCCACGATATCGTATAGCCCACATACAACGGTACCTCCCGATATTCGGTATTTTGATGATTTTAGCGACATTATTGTTGTTTCAAATTTCGTATTTAGAGTTCGTAATGGGTGCTTCAGCCTATGACAACAAATTGCGTTTGCAGGCCCCTGTCTTCGTATAGCCACCATATAACCGTATCTCCCAATATTCGGTATTTTGATGATTTCCACATTATTCACCGGCGTTGTTTGAAATTTCGTATTCAGAGTTCGATTTTAGGTACGTTATTTACCGGAATTATTTCAAATTTCGTATTTGAAGTTGGTAATAGGTACTCTAGCCTATGGCATCCGCATCTTCGTATAAGCCCCCATTTGACGGTACCTTCCGATACTCAACATTTTCATGATTTCTGTGACAAAGCCTCACCACCGACAAATTTTTAAGATGTTTTTTTGGTCGTAATTTTAAAGCGAATTACCGTAAAATGATAGTTTGCAAACATCCTTGCAAAGTTCTATGTATATAGGTTTAAGTTTTGGGATAGTTGGGTCATATTTTTCACCAATAACAGAAAACATTCTTCGTATAGGCTATGGTGCAATAAGGAGGTAGAACAGCTTCGTAAAACTAAAGAAGTACAGCCCTGAGGCTATGCCCGCTTCCTGTCAAATTTCCATACAAACAAGTTATTTTTCATACATTCAATATTTTTCCTCATTTTTAATATCACTTAAACAGCGGGAAAAATTAATTAAATGCCTGCATCTTCTTTCAAACATATGATCTAAAAAGTTACATATTTCATTATATGGTAAAACTGGCGAATAAATTTTATGCGCCTCTCGCAATGTACGCGTCTCCCATTCATTGATTTTGAAAATATTCTGTTTTTAATTTTCAAAACAATAAATACATACACAAAATTGACATAAGTCGGGCACACTTAGAAACAAATTGTAATCAACTGATAGCTCTACCTTACCTTTTTATTGTACCATGGTATAGTACTCATATTGCAGTACCAACAATTTTTTTTTTTTTTTGAAAATTTCTATCGACATAAAATATATATGCATCTTCAATACTGTGAACAGTTCGGCCTGAGCGAACTTAACTGCTTTTTACTTGATTGAGTTAAAAACTAAAATTTTAAAAACTTATAAAATAACTCCCATGTCTAACTTCCATGGAAAACAATAATACACAAGAAATATGATTTGTTTTTTTTTTTTTTTTTTTATTATACTTTATTTCGAAAAATACATTTTAATACATTCAAAATATTAATTTAAAACTAGATTGACTTACCGATGTAGTAGCAGATTCCTTGAGTGCCATGATAAGAGAAATAATACATTGCATCAAAGGAAAAGGCAACTCTGTATCGTATTAGTAGGGAACTCTGGAATTTTTTAGAAAGTCTAGAAATTTAGAATTTTTTTATGGTTAATGCCAATTTCAACTTTTTCAGGTATGAGATGTTATCAATCGATGAATTTTAAAAATGGCGATAGTTTCAACTTTTTTCGCTATCTGTTTTTTTTTAGGTATAAAGAATTTGATTGAAATAATGAGAAAACAGAGTCCAAAATAATTGTTCATTCAAATTATTATTATACTATGTTTCTTTTATGCTTTTTTTCTAAATTTTGCATCGATATTCGATATTTTTCATCCCATACGTGATTTGTTTTACAAACTATTTTCTTTCATTATGGTTTTATTTTCCTCATATTTATTTATTAGATATTATAAAGAATTTGCAGTTAGCTTCCTTGGATACCAATGTTAATTTTTAATTTTATATTTATATAATATGAACTTATTCGATTCTTATATTATATAGAGAAGTTTTCATTTTTAAGTATTTTTATATTTTAGTTCTGCAATTTATTGCGGTTATATTTTTATATAACGTATTTTTGTTCCTTATGCATTAAAAATATTTTTTATATATTAAATAATATAGATTTTATAAATTTAATTATTATTTGTTAGCAGACTTTAATCTGCTTCTTTAATATCGCTTTATAGGTATGTATACGATTGTTGTTAAATATCATCGTAGATTTTTTTTATTCCAATTGTGATTTTATTTCAGTTTCTTATGTTATAGAGGTTTTTGCGTCTCATTATATTGTTTTATAGATCGTTAGGTTTTTATGGATTTGCTTTGGGTTTGAATGGTGAATTCCTGGCATATGGTTGCTTACGTATGTTTTTATATCTTGGAACAATTGGTGCTGTTTCGGTCCGTTTTATTTGTTTCTCTAAAATTATTTAAAATTTATGTTATTCATTTTTTAATAATGTTTTATGGAAATATTATTTATATATGGGGTTTATAGTAAGTATTATAATTATATTTTAATTTATTAGACAGATTTGTCAATATGCAGTGTGGTTCATCATATCAGATATGTTGGCTGAGGTGGAACTTTCATATTATTCTCTTAGAAACTCAAGTTTTACTAAAATGTTGCTTTTATATTTTTTCTGAAACCCCAAAGCATTACAAATTTTAGTGCAGAAATAAGTAATTGGTCTAGCCTCTCAATCCTTCCAAAACATAACTTTAGAAAAATAGTTTAAAAATAGAAATTTATTTCTAAGTTGAAATTTGTTGAAGTTATTTTGAAAAACAATTTGGGAAACTAGATAAAATAATAATAAAGGTAGAAGTACAAAGCAGATATTTTTTATTCGCTTAAGTCATTGGCATCTTCGTTTAAGAACAAAAGAGCGTGGGTTATGTAGGGAGATGACACAGTAAAAAAACTTGTTCTATAGGGTGAAATAAAAAAACTGCAACGAACTTCAGACTGCTGTAATTGCTAAGCCACTCGTCCGACAGCTGTTAAAATTATTCCAGTGACAGCTCATTATATTGTTTACAAGCGTACAAAAGCATTTTGTGAGAATTTCCCAGAAAAAAAATTATTCACCATTATCGCGTAAAAATTGTGAATATTTGTTCGCATGACAATTGTGAATCCCCATTACCAAAATTAATATAATTATAATTTCTTTTTGTGAACTTTTGTGAAAAAAAGTAATGATTGCATTTTTGGGAATGGTGAATCTTTTTTTTGGGAAAATTTATTACGCGATAAGGTGGAATTGAAGCGTGATAGTGTGATTTCATTATATTTGGCTGGAGAACCACCAGAGATTGAAACCCGCGTTGCAGTGGCCGAAAGCTGAGCTGAACATATCGCAATATTTCATTCGCAAATATTGAAAAATGAGCTCGGGATAAAGCCCTAGAAATTCCAAAAAGTTCAAGAACTTACACCGCAACAGAAAGAAAATAGACTAAAAAGAGCTAGGGAGTTGCTTCGCTTGGCCGAAAACATTCGTTGTCCAGCAGTTTGTAAACAAACAAAATTATCGTGTTTACTTTCCAAAGAGACCAGCTGAAAATGTGCACCTTCGGTTGGCCACCATAACTCAAACGTGATGGTGTGGGCGCCATAATAGCCGATGGTCGCTCTCCGCTTGTATTAATCGATCGTGGCATCAGAATAAACGAATATTATCGCGAAAATATTTTGGAGGGTGTATTTAAGCCTTGGGAGCGCAAACATTTTGGCCGCAGACATAGGACTTTCCAACAGGACTCAACAACATCGCACTCAGCACGCACCACCCAGGAATTGTTACAAAATGAGACTCCTCGCTTCATTTCCAGCGCACAATGGCCACCAAAATCTTCGGATACCAATCCGTTGAACTATTGTGTCTAGAGTATTTTGGAAAGCAAGGTTGCCAATAAAAAAATACCAAAGTGTCGATCATCTCAAGCAAGCGCTTCCCGTGAATGGGCCAAAATAACGCAGATCAACATACGGGAGGGTGTGACGGTTTCATTGACCGTTTGAAGGCCATAATTCATGCCAAATGTGACCAATTCGAACAAATCTAAACTTATTCTAAAATTTGATGATATTTCCGACTTTTTTGACTTTGTTGCAGTTTCTGTTAGGCTATCTATGTGGGCATACGAAGAGAAGACTTCGCAGTAAAAGGTGACTACGTTAAAAACGCTAGATTCTACTTTTGGCCACAAACAAATATTGAAAAACGCTCGAAAAAAATACCTAACGACAACATAATTATGACGGAATATAGGTAAGGACGAGGAGTTAACATCACATGCTATTTATCGCTAGATAAAAAGTCTTATAGACAACTAGGATGGAGTTTAAAGAACTGCATCAACCGTGAGCTAAGGTACACTTAAGAGTAATCCCATTAAGTGCCTTTATACCGTTACAGGCTTCGAAAGGTTCCCTAACTCTCAATGAACTAAAGTTGGGTCTAATCTCTCCTGAAAAGGATAACAATCCGTATGGGATATTTTAAAGGCATAGCAATATTCTTCCAACAACCGAATATAAACGCGATTTTACTTGTTTTATGTTTGATCTATAATATATGTTGTTTAAGGAAATTTGGCGGAGAATTGGTACATATTGGTCTTACCTGAAAAGCTATGACTGGAGGGTGAATGGTGATCTTCTTGTTCCCTAAAAGAGAAAAAAATGTTATTTTCCACATAAACAATACTTAACAGATATTTAATGTTAAACAGGAAAAGAGCTAATATTAGGTAGGTACATTGACTTTTTGCGACCCTTTTCGGAAAGGAACAATTTATTCTTGATATAAGGTTGGTGTTGAGGTATAGCAAAACTACAGATTTACTGTTCGTTTTTATTTTACTAATATATGAATACTAAAAGGAAAAGAGATCGCATTAAGAAAAATTATTTTTACATTTCTCCTAAAATCCACCTTCTAAATATTGAACTGCAATTTCAATAAAAAAAAAAAAAAACTAAAAAGAAAACTTACTCTCTTTGACCCAGTTCTGCTAGTTTTTGGAACATCGATCTGAAAGAAAAGGAAACATTGTCATGAAGTTCAAAATTAAAAATTATTTCCCCACTTACTTGTGTGGCACAACAGGCTTGGCGCCAAATGACGTTTTCACCAATTTCGGATCGATTTCCATTAGCTCTCGATACTGTTCCTGTGAAATATCATCATTCTTATCGGGTATTATGTATTTACGAATCTCTTTCAAAGCATATGCCATGCGAGCATGTGCTTCGGCTGGTGATGCCACCGTTGATATTTCAACAAAAAGATTCTTATTCAAATGATTGTAGGCTGGATCACCGGACTGACGTAGCGCTTCCTCACGTTCTGGATCACGCATTGAATTACGACCCTTTATGGCAATGCTACAGAGTGTCTCCTGATGCAATCGCTTCAATGTATTTCCCTTGGGACCCAGAATTTTACCTTGAAAGTTAAATTTCGGATATTGTTTGACGGGTAAATAGACATTTTGTGTTAGCTTGATAGGTTTCTGTTGATACACATCGGCCTTCAGTTCTTTGCCTGGTGTACGCCCCGTGGCGTAGATTCGATCCATGGCTGTAAGTGAAACAAAAATATATTTTAGTATGGATTGGTACATAAAGTTGTTTACTAAAAAAATGGAAAATCTTAAAGGTGTCTTCTGAGATAGATATGGTGAATTTGTATCCCCCATCCAAGCGTGCCAGGAAGAACATACATAATCTAGAAAGGGAGGTCCAACGCTATAAGAGAGGCTCTCTCTCTCTATATCATGAAGCCCATCAGGCAGGTCTGAATGGCATTCATATTGATGCTATCACAGATACCATCAGGAATTGCAGGATGAATTCCGTCCTCGGAGTCCACCCCCATATCCATTGCAGCCGAAGAACGTCAACTGCCTATACAAACCAGGTTTGTTTTGACGCAATTACGCACCATCCTGAGGTGCAGTCGTCTCAATTCGTATTGGGCACGAATTGACGAAGATGTGCGTGACGTCTGGCCGGCGTGTGATACAGACCCGCACAATACGCTACACCTCTTTAATTATATCGCCAAACCTACCCAACTCACTGCAGAAGATCTCTAGTTACAGCCTATACACCATTTTTTATAGTGGCTTAATTTCTACTCAAATATCGGTAGCTGTGCTTAAACACCTCTGTTGAAAACGGTTTGAAGGAAACATTTGTTTCTTTTGCTAACATTCTATTGAGCTTTCGATCATCACTTTGGTATGCTACGTTTTAATAACACCCACGGACAATATTTCCTATTTCGATTTAGCAATCGAGGAGTGGTTGGTGAATCATTAACATCAAACTAGAGAAGCCGTATATGAATATTGACCACTTCAGATGCCCACCTTCAACGTTACATATGTGGGTGCAATATTCATACTTATAAAAACAACTAAAAAAGCTGTAGTTCGGCCAGGCCGAAATTTTAATACCATCCACCATTTTAATACCATCCACCATTTGGAACGAATTTTCCATTAAAAATTCTGTTTAAATCTTAAAAATGACGAATGTTGCCTTTATATTATGGTCTATACGATGCGAAACATGTACCTATAATCATCAAAATACAGAATACAGCGATATACCATTATATGTTGGCCATACCAAAACGTGGACCTGCACAGAAAATTTTCTGACATAGGCTGTAGTATCCATTACGAACTTCAAATAGCAAATTTGAAATAATTCCGGTGAATAATGTCGCTAAAATCATCAAAATACAGAATATTGGAAGGTACCGTTATATGTGGGCTATACGAAGACGTGGACCTGCACAGACAATTTTCTGTCTTAAACTGTAGTGTCCATTACGAACTTTAAATAGCAAATTTGAAACACTTTCGGTGAATGATGTCGCCTAAGTCACCAAAATACCGAAAATAGGGAGGTACCATTATATGGGGGCTATACGAAGACATGGACCTACATGGCCCATTTTCAGTACCAAAAGTCCTGCAGACATAATACACATTTGAGTAAATTTTTCTCAATTTACTTCATTTCGTTCGGAAGCTAGAGTGATTTCCTCAGACGGACGGAAATCACTAAATCAAGATAGAAATTTATGCTGATCAAGAATATATATACTTTGTGGGGTCTTAAATGTATATTTAAAGGTGTTACAAATGGAATGACAAACTTAATATACCCCATACTATGGGGGAGGGTATAAAAAGAACGGCGACTTAGATAGACCTCCCCAAACTTGATATCATACTGACGGCCTATTAGGTATGGATTATTTCCCTATTATTTTTTAGAAATTAATTTTGATGCGTAATAAAACTAATTTTTACTCTTCAAATCATGCTCAATTCTTTCTTCTTCGCGTATATATGTATACTGTTGTTTGTGTGTATGTTCAGCGATGCATTTACCGGTATACATACACAATTTTGTGGCTTCCCAACATTGGCTGCTTGGCTGGTGATAATGCCATAGCAGTTGATGTACATTTAATATACATATATTTTTATTATTTTATTATAAACAGCAGTTTCCTGTTCCATAGATCCATGGACGCTTCCACAAAAACTTATATATTCTACTCTAAATAGATTTTAATGGATTGATATCTTACCATCTCTTATTAATTCAGCACAAAGTGGAAATTCCTTGGGTAGGCGGGCTTCCTCCTTTCGCAGCGCTTCAATATATTCCTGGGCATATTGATTGATTTTCGGGACATAGCCTTCATTGTGTTTTTCATTTCCATTGTCATAACTCATTTTTTTTCTGTCTTCTTTCACTGACTTATTGTGGGCGATTTATAAAATAGCGACGACTTCTTCTTCGTATGAAAACTGAATCAACACTGGCAGAACTGTTGATGGTGAAATACTTGGGGTTGGAAATTTCATTAATGGTACGAAAAAGTGTACAAATCCATTAGGGATGGCAAACAAATGAATGAATGAATGTGCTGCTATTTCGTGTGAAAACTGAGTATTTCGAAAAAGATAAATAATTAAAATAAAAATAATTTAAAAAAAAAATTAAGGAAAATAAAATAAAATTACATAGTCCGATTTATACTAGGCGAGCATAGTGTCGGCAATTTTTATCGTTCTCTTTCGAACTTTCCTCTTGCATTTATAAAAGGCTATTATTTCAGCAATTTTCTTTTTCATTGTTATATTTTCTATCAGTTTTATTATTTTTATTGTAGTTTGGCCACAAAAATGCAATTTTTTACCGTTTCTATTCCCCTTACCCATAGTAGAAGAATACAGGTAGTCACATCGACACGTCTGATGGGACAATGAACTGTCAAACCAATTTTGGGATTGAAATTTTTATATGAAAAATTATTCAAATTTGTAAAAATTGTTGAAAAATACATATCATTACAACCTCCGATTCGCGTCATATAAGAAAACATATAAAAATCTACTTATATTTGAAAATGCTTTAAAATTTTTTGACATATCAATATTCCCAAGCGTTGATGCATCTACCTGTATTTTTCTACCATACCCTTTCCACACACCCCCGTTTGGGAGATATTATAAATGGTTCTGAACGGAATGGAAAGGCTAGACTAAAGCCGAGAATATATAAAACGCTTTTCACTTGTCAGCATTTCTTTTCAAAATTACACAATTGACATCTCGTTGTCAAAATGTATATCTATAATTCTCATGGTAGAAGAATACTGGTAGTCGCATTGAAACAGCTGTTGGGCAAATGAACTGTCAGACCAATTTTGGAATTGAAAATTTTGAATGAAAAATTATTAAAATTTGTAAAAATTGTTAAATAATACATATAACTTCCAATTTGTGTCGTACAAGAATACATATAAAAAACCTACTTATTTTTGACAAAAGATTTTAAAAATTGATCTGAACTGATCATTTACACGAGTTGTCAAAATAATTATTGTGATTTGAGTCATCGTGTGAAACATGGTCCAAGTCATGGTAGAAGAATATAGGTAGACGCATCGACACAGCTGCTGGGACAATGAACTGTCAAACCAATTTTGGAATTGAAAATGTTGAATGAAAAATTATATAAATTTGCAAAAACTGTTGAAAAACACGGATTATAATAACCACCGAATGAAAAATCTACTTATATTTGAAAAAACATTTAAATTATTTTGACATATAAATGCTCCCAAGCGTTGATGCATCTACCTGTATTCTTCTGCCAAGTATAAGGCCCAAAACCAAGCCATCTGACTACCAAATTTAATAGAAGAATGCATTATTGTGATTGAAATCACAATAAAAGATAAAACATGGTAGAAGAATACAGGAACGCTTGGTAATATTGGTAAATCAAAATCTTTAAAATGTTTTGTCAAAAATAAGTAGATTTTTATATGTTTTCTTATATGAAGCCAATCGGAGGTTATTATGATATGCATTATTTAAAAGAATTTACAATGTTCAATAAATTTTCATTGAAAATTTTCAATTCCAAATTTGGTTAGACTGTTCATCCTCCCAGCAGCCTACCTGCATTCTTCTACTATGAGATAAACATTATAGAACGAGAATTGATCCCAAGTTCTGCATTTTCAGTCATTTACCATCTCAGCTTTAACTGCATGAACAACAGGATCCGAGCTCTGATTTTTTATATATGTAGAAGATTTATAAATATACATTTTGATAATGAGTTGTCATTTTGAAAAAATTGTAAACATATGATTTCACGATGTTACCTTTTTAATTCTAACATGATATACAAACAAATCTGTGAGTTTTCTATGCGGTTAGATTTGACAAGAATATTACAGAAAATGCAGAGATAGACATTTACCTCTGAAAAGAATTGGATGTAGTTTAAGTACACCAAAAAATTAAAAATGAGAAATGTGGTGTAAAGGGATCTAAATGAAGTAGATTTCACCTTTTCTTCGACCCTTTGACCACAAAACTCACTCTTCTTTCCGACAAGGTACAAAAATCCTGCCATCGAATAGGGATGGTAAATCTTCATTTATTATTCGCTCTGAAAACTGTGTCTGTCGAATTAAGTAGAGTGTTAAATAATTAAGCGAATAGAGAGCAGTGCAAGTCCCGTGTGAACTTGGTATAAGGGAACGCCTTCCGAATAAAACGCGCAAAAGTTGAAGATAATCACACGTAAAGGATCACCTGGATGGACACCAGTCATACATAGTATTCCAAAAAAACTACCTAACAAGTTCGAACAAAGCTATTTAGATTTGAATCAGACGCCAGTCATACATAGTATTTTCTAGAAAGGAGCTCAACACATGTTTCTTGAGGTAGGGTGATACCTCCGAAATTATTCTTTCTAGGTTTCATAAATTGTACAACACCCAAACGGTATAGATTCCGTTTATTATGTAGGTTATGGTACGATTATGACGTCCAGTCGTATATGTGTATAAAGTTGAAATCGAAATGATCGAGTTTAGAGTCCATTTCCATGCGAAGAACATGAAGATATCTATGACGAAATCAACGGTACTACACTTTACCACGTAAACTGTAGGAATCTGAATGAGTTTTATTTACATTTTCTTTGGACTAGTCACCTTTAAAAAGGAAAACTCTGGTCTTTATGGACATAAAACTTTAAAGTAGATTTGTGTAAGAGAATCTTCAAATGATGTTCTTTAGAGAGTAGGGCTCATGAGGTCCATAACTAACTCTTACGTTCTACGGGTATTTCAACAAGGTTTTTTTCTACCTTTAGCAGATTTCCTATAAAAATAAGAACAGGTATTCCATAGATAGAAAACATCTGACCAAGTCTTTTGTAGATTAAACATGTTTCAACAGGTCTTTTAGATGTAGAACGAACCCCTGTCTAAACCAAGACTTAAATACGTAAAATTTTGACAAAACTCATTTCGAGAAAATGGCTTGTGGCTATAATATGTAGAGGAACAGATCATGCCTATGTATGTTAATAGTAAAAATTCAAGTGTAGAGCAGCATGACAAATAAATGCTCTGTTCCAGAACCTGCAATAATTTACTAGTTTTGTCATATTTTCGATATCATAAAGGAAAAATCGGTTATTGTAGTAAAGACTTTTAAATTCTTGCAGTTCTGGAACAGATAAAACATTTACACCAGACCAAATATATGGCCACAAATTGTACTCCATTAACGTTAAAACGTAATATAATATCGACTGAGCGGTTAAAATCAATTAATATTGGTAACTATGTTTTTATGACATCATAACAACAGAATTATATCCACCTAGTATCAATATTTTGAGTCTGCAATGTCCCGCTTCTGTCCTTGTAAAAAATTCAAGAGATCTTCTAAGCGGTAATGTTTTTTTTTTTTTTTTCAAAATCTATTGATATATCTTACATATTTAAATCATTTAAATTCATTCATTTATATTTTATTGTATATTCTTTTATTTTCATATGTTTTACAATTATCAGATTTAAAGTTATATTATTTATCCCATTATCAATTATGTTATTTTTGTGGTTGCAATAGTCATACAAAATTATATTATTATTTTATTGTTAATATGAATATTTAGGCTCTCAATGGGTGGAACATTACATATTTTGAAACAACATACAGTGTTGCTTCGCGCGTTTGTGTTTTTTTTTTTTTTTTGTTTTTATGCAAAATTGTCAATGTTCAAATTTACGGGAGTCCTCTTACTTTTTATACATTGAAAAAGACTGGTAGGGTCTTGGGCGATATTCTTTTCTGTCATGAAATGGTGATGGTTCTGGTGGACGTCTTGGTGCTGGAGCTATAAATAATTGTTTAGTTAAATTTATATGGTTATTATTTATTTTTAATAATTATTTTTTATTCTTATATTATTTATTTCTTGTTGATTACAATTTATGTTTTATCCATAACTTATGTTTTACTGAAACCATTCAGGCCAATAAATATTCGTTACAAAATCCTAAGTAAAACGTAGCACTAACTAGTACACTAGTACCCAGAATATACACAGAATATTGAATTCAATATTTTCTTCAATTTAATTCTACAAATTAAATATTCCTTGGATTTATTGGTATCACGCAAAAGGTATTTAAATACAGAAAATAAGTATATTTTATTTCTCTTTCCTTTTCGGACGGGATTTTTATTGTTTTAATGGAAAATACTTAAACGCTACCAACTGGTTCTAAATATGAAATAAAAAAAAAAATACTATACTTAGGTATGTTTAAACAAAAGAATGACATGCAAAATTCTACAAAATGTTAACGTTTACCTTGACATTTTAATTTTTTCGAACAAATCTTTTTTGTTGTAAATTAAGATTACTTGAATTTCGAAAAAACATAAACTTACCTCTATAAGCTCCTGCAGATCTAGATGAAATTGGTGGCGGTGGTGGAGGAACCGGTGTTGCATAGTGTGGTTCATATTCATCATAGTCATCATATCTACGAAAAATAAGTAATTTTACATGCATTATTTCATAAGTTATCTTCGCAACCAAATGGTGGACTGACCTAAAGATACTTACTCAGTTCCATGATAACCTCTGTAGCTCTCATGACCTCCGAATTTGCCTAAAACTGACCTAAACCACAATTCAGCTTTAAGTATTATAACAAAATAACTCTATACATGATTTACATCTTACCTATATGCAATGGGTGGCTTTCCCCTGGCATATTCTGGATGCATTTGCATTAGTTCACGATATTGTTCCTGAGAAATCTCATCATTTTTATCCGGTATAATATATTTACGTATCTCGGCCAGGGCATAACCTATGCGGTTATATGCTTCGGCTGGTGGTGCCACAGTACTTATTTCCACAAATAAATTCTTGTTGAGATGATTAAATGCTGGATTTCCAGATTGTCGTAGGGCTTCTTCCTTTTCTTCATCGCGCATACTGGAACGACCTTTAATGGCAATGTGACACAATGTCTCCTGATTCAATTTCTTGAGACTGTGACCTTTGGGTCCAATTAGTTTGCCAACGAAATTAAACTTGGGAAATTGTTTCACCGGTATGTGGACATTTTGTGTTACCTTTATGGGCAACTGTTTGTACACATCGGCCTGTAATTCCTTGCCGGGTATACGTCCCGTAGCATAGATACGATCAATGGCTGTTGGAATTAAAAAAGTACCGAGTAAAGAAAAGATAATTTGTGGCGCGCTGACCTATCCATACACATACCATCATCAATTACTTGAGCACACAGCGTGAATTCTTTAGGCAATCGAGATTTTTCCGCTAACAAATCATCAATGTACTTCTGGGCCACATCATTTATTTTCGGAGTAAACGCCTCGTAATATGATTCACCACCGCCTTGTGACATTTCTTTTAGGAATTTTAAATTGTTAAGGATCCTTATTAATTCTCTTTTAGATGCGTCGTCCCGGAATGAACTAGTTCAATTAAAAGATGCATTAAAATGAGATTCGTTCCGGAAAAACAAGTGTGATTGAACTATTCATTAAACTGAGCGCAGGAACTAGTTCTGGGTTTCATTTCCCTTTAGAGAATAAAAAAATACATTAGAAAAATAAGAATTATGAATGTAAAATATGTAATTAATTGTTGAAAGTATAATTGGCTAAAGGTAAGAATGCATACAACGCTTAAGTCATCGGCTGGCTTCTTTGCAAGGTAGAAGAATATAGGTAGATGCATCAACGCTTGGGAACATCGATATGTCAAAAGTTTTAAAATGTTTTATCAAAAATACGTATATTTTTAAATACTTTCTTATACGACACAAATTGGAGGTTGTTATAACATAAATTTTTCAACATTTTTTATAAATTTCAATAATTTTCCTTCAACATTTTCAATTTCAGAATCGGGTTGACAGTTCATCGTCCCAGCAGCTGTGTCCATGCGACTACCTGTATTCTTCAACCATGCTTCTTTGTAAAAGAGCAAAAGGACATAGGGTGAACAAGTTTAAATTATGGACCGAAATAGAACTAAGTCGTCCTAAACCTCCTTTGTTCTTTTACGAATAAAAAACAGTTCTCATATGTGTGTACACATGGTAAAATTAAGATGGTAAAGTCATTTCAAATAAGCATTCCCACGTCTGCATTTTCTGTAATTTACCTTGTCAAATTTCACTGCAAAGAAAGCAGGTTCCCATCTTTGATTTGTGTATGTACAATGGATTTAAAAATAAACATTTTGACAATGAGATGCTGTCAAAAAATTATTTAAAAAAATTGTAAACATATGATTACCGTCTTAATTCTACCATTTGTATACAATAGATTTATAAATATATATATATTGACAATGAAATGCTGTCAAATGAATAAAAAAAATAAACACGTGACGTGATTTTCTAAATTTTACGATAGTTACTATATTCAACATACAAAAAATAAATTGTTCAATTATTAATGTTGAAAAGGTTCAACCTTGTAAATTTTGTATGCCTGACGTATTTGGTTAAAATTCATTTAAATACGGGTGAAAAATAGAGCGCATATTTGTCTGGCTTCTTCCTAGATGAACCAAGGAGTTTTAGGTTGACTCACTTCGATTTTGGCCCTAGGTTCCTTTGTTCATTTCCGAAGAAGCCAGCCATATAAGCGCTATAAGTATTCCCGCCTTTAAACTTGTTTGGTGAAAAACGTCAACCGAGTACGTCAAATGTTAGGTAACGCTGTAAATTTGAAACATTTTGTAATACATCAAATCAAAATCCACTGAATTTGAGAGTCCTTATCATTTGACGGAAAATTACAATTGGAATACACTCGATTTAGTAAGTGTAAACGTACTTTTAACCCACATTATCAGGATTTATTGATTAGCCTGGATTTATTCGACCTGTGTGGGTTTTTGAGTTGCCGACAAATATCGGTAAAATGAAAACAAAGAAATATGAATGAAAATTGTTTATTATAGTTGGCAGAACTTTTGCTATCGGTAGACTTAATTTCGGACGCTTCATTTTGGTAATTACTGAAAATATAAGCAAAAAATTAAAAAATTCTAAGGCTGGAAATACATAAAGCGCATATTTGGCTGGCTTAAGTCATCGGCTGGCTTCTTCGTAGATGAACAAAGGAGTTTTAGGTTGACCTAGTTCGATTTTGGCTCCTTTGTTCATTTCCGAAGAAGTCAGGCACATAAGTGCTTTATATATTCCATGGTAGAAGAATATAGGTAGACGCATCGACGTAGTTGCTGGGATAATGAACTGTCAAACTAATTTTGGAATTGAAAATATTGAATTAAAATTATTTCAATAAGTAAAAATTATTGAAGAGCGCGAATTATAATAACCTTCGAATGGCGTCGTATAAGAAACATATAAAAATCTACTTATATTTGAAAAAAACATTTAAAATTTTTTGACATAGCAATGTTCTCAGGCGCTGATGCATCTACATGTATTCTTCTATCATGGTATATTCCCACCTTAAATATTTTTGTCGATTACCTAAAAATTGAGTTAGAGAATCCCACTTCTATTTTCTGATGAAAATAGGGCTCGCTGTGATCGAAAAACTACATGTGTTTCACCACTGAAATGTAGTCCATATATCACACGATACATATCGAAAAGTTGACACTACATATGTAAAACCCTTTTCGTCTGAGAGCAGCGGAAGTCAGTAAAAACCTTGTTCTATGCGTTCTCGCCTTTAGAGAATCCCAGATCCAATTTATACCGATCTAATTTAACTTCATTGAAAACAGGTTTTATCTCTGAGGTTAGCATTTTAAATCATTAAAAGAATGAAAATATAATGGAAATTGAAAAAAAATGCTTGTAAAGCTTTAAACATTTACACAATTTTTTTAATTAGTATTATGTTCTTTATAAATGTATTAATTTCAAATTTTCATAGAACTGGGATCAAGGCCCTGGGGTGAATTTAAGGATTTAACAAATCGAGTGGATTTAGGAATGTATCTATGCAGATGTTTTTAGAAGACTTTACCAACATCATTTATTATAAATGTCACAAAAAAATACCTTATCATTTAATGCGACATTGTTTTCGCGTTGCCAATTGTCATAAACCACAAAAATTTATTATTTCATATCTCAGCTGCTATTCCAAATAAAGAAAAAAAACATGAACAATAAAAAGAAAATGCAACCATGGCAAGGGGTAAATACATAACAGGAGTATGTACGAACAATAAGTTCATTATTTTCCTTTACCCGAAAAGGGTTAACCCGGATAAAAATTTGTATGTAAACATACTTTTACATTTTCCACCTGTAAATAAATTGAAACAAAAAGTGTATTTTTTATAAACATATTTATTTTTATTTATATTCGTACTAGAATCAAAAAAAACTTATATTCAAAATAAATCTCATTTGTTGTTGTTGCTGGTTTTTTTCATTTTTGTAATAAGGAGTATTTTGCTTTCTATATATGGGACTATTCGCAGTATTTCTTCTTTATTTCGTGAAAAAAAAGAAAAAAAAAACTTAATAAAATTAAATTAAACTTAAAATAACTAGAAAAAGTTCTTGTTGTTGTTGTAGTAGTAGTAGAGCGATATAAAGCAATAAAATTATAAAATGGATATAAAATACAAATTAAATAAATGTATGTAGGTATGTGGGTGGTATTGTATATTGACAAAATGTGGGACAAGAGGTGAATTGGGTGAAAATAGAATATATTCAATACTGTGCCAAGAGGCCAAACATGTGAAGGATGTGATTATTGGCAAAAATTCTTTTTGTTTTGATCCAAACATTTGAGGAAGCTCAGGATGAGAATAAATGGATGAAAGGCCAAGACCGCGATCAGGTCTTACTTTCTTTCATACAAATATTCATCCTCATAATAGCGCGGTGTAGTACTGGCTATGAAGATCTGGGGACGTCGCTGTTGCAGTGAAATATTGATTTCTTCGGGAGTTCTATAGACTTGCTGGTGTTGAGGTTGTTGCTGTTGCAAATGGTGCAATTGTGGTGTGGCCGTAAAGAATCGATAGGGTGATGGAGTTGCGGTCGGTGTTGGAGGTTGCGAACGAATTTGTTGAATCTGAGGTTGAATTTGGGGTTGAATTGTGGTCACTGGCAAGGGTTTGCGATAAATCGTGGTTTGCTGTGGCTGAGAGTATTGTTGCTGTTGTTGTTGCTGTTGCTGATGTACGGGCTGATGGCGAATAGGCTGTTGCAGAGGAGCCACAGATGTTTGGGGTCTTTGGTATTGCGGTTGGGTGTGATGTTGTTGCTGCTGTTGTTGTTGGGGTTGTTGTTGGTGATGGAAGCCGACTTGAAGCTGGAATGAAATTATATTTATTTCAAAAATTTTTGAGAATTTGAAAAGTATCTTTGAGGCCATTTATGAGAAGACCTTCTGAAATTTCTGACTTTCTTCTTTGGGAAGGCTTTACTGGCCTTTTATGAGAAGACCTTCTGGCCTTCTATGAGAAGACCTTTGGCCTTCTATGAGAAGAATTTCTGGCCTTCTATGAGATGACCTTCTGGCCTTCTTTGAGAAGACCTTCTGGCCTTCTATGAAAATACCTTCTGGCTTTCTATGAGAAGACCTTCTGGCTTTCTCTTAGAAGACTTTTTGCTCTTCTATGCGAAGATTTTCGGCTCTTCTCTGAGAAGACCTTCTGCTCTTCTTTGAGAAGACCTTATGCTCTTCTCTGATAAAACCTTATGTTCTTCATGAAGACCTTCTGCTATTCTCTGAGAATACCCTCTGCTCCTCTCTGAGAATACCTTCTGCTCCTCTCTGAGAAGACCTTCTGCTCTTCTCTGAAAACACCTTCTGGCCTTCTATGAGAAAACTTTCTGGCCTTCAATGAGAAGACCTACTGGCCTTCTACTCCTCTTTGAGGAGACCTTCTGCTCTTCTCTGAGAAGACATTTGCTCTTCTCTGAGATGACCTTCTGCTCTTTTCTGAGAAGATATTCTGCTTCTCTCTGAGAAAACCTTAAGTTCCTCTCTGAGAAGACCTTCTGCTCCTCTCTGAGAAGACCTTCTGCTCCTGTATGAGAAAACCTTCTGTTCTTCTATGAGACGACCTTCTGCTCTTCTATGAGAAGACCTTCTGCTCTTCCATAAGAAGACCTTCTGCTATTCTATGAGAAGGCCTTCTGCTTTTTTTGGGATATTCTATGAGAACTCTTTGTTATATCTCATTAAACTACTTACAGGTTGTCTATGATGTTGGACACGTTGTCTGGGAGCATCATCCTCTTCATCATAACGATCACGATCTTGATCATAGAAATTCTCGGGATAATAACGTTCCGAATAGCGTAGAGTTACATTGGGTTTACTTTGATGTTCTTGGAGATTGACTGGCTTGTAAAGATACTCATTGACAATGTGATATTTCGAAGATTGTTGGCATGAGTTGTCGTTGGAGGGAGGCATGCAAATCAAATGGATTTGATGGAATGTAAAACCTTCGGGACAGATCCAGGAGTGGCGTTGATTTTCCTGACAATAATGGAATACTTCGCAGTTGAGTGTGTCATCGGCGTAGTAACTAAAGAGAGAGAGAGGGAGAGAGAGAGAGAATTTAATTAAGAGACTACTATTTAATGGAAGATTTCTCTTTACTTACCCTGTTGTCTTTCCATTGCAATTGAATTTCGATTGGGCCAACAATAGTGACAGACGATCTGGTTCCTCTTCTTCCTCCTCGACTTCTTCTTCGCTTGATTGTTTCTTCGATCCTTTGCCACCCTGATATTGTTGCTGTTGTTGTTTACGTGTTTGATAGACGGGACGTGGTGGCTCCTCTTGATCCTCTTCCGATTGGGAATAATCATAGAGCGGTTGTTGTTGCTGCTGTTGGTGTTGTCTATAACCTAAATGTGTTTGGGCCTGTGTCTCGAAGAGATCATCATCGTTGGCCTCTATGGAACGTGATTGAAAGCCCTGAGGCTTGGCCGTGGTTGCGGAGGCTGTTAAACTATCGGTGGCCGCTGTTTGACTGTAACCGATCAGACAGGACAGGAGGGAGACTAGCAGCAAGAAATACAAGCTGGAAAAAGAGAGGGATAATGTAAAAAATGTACATCAATTTAAAGTATTTTGAATTTTAGAAAGTGTTGGATTCTCTAAAAATTTTAAGTATTGGTCCCAAAAATTGAATAATTATTTTCCATGAGAAAGTAAATATTAATGTTGTCAATAGTTTTAATAACGTCATTTGCATTAAACTACAAATGCAGCTCATATGAAATTCAATCAGTTTCGATTTTTTTTTGGCAGTCACATTGGCAAAAACAACCGTAGATCATTGTTTCAATCATCTCAAATACAGTCACGTTCATTAACCACCTGTTATCTGTAAAGTATGGGTTTAATTTATGCAATGACTTTGTAATGACCTTACCATTTGACATTTGCCAAAAAACATACAAGAAACATAACAATATTAAGGCGGAAGGAAAATATTATGGTTTTGTCATGGGAAAATATGAGAATTTTGTAGTCTGAGGTATCAATAAACTGGTATTGAAAGTAAGATTTGAAAATATGGAGAGCTATGCAACCGACACAAGCAGATCAAGGCGAAACTATAAACTGAAAATGGGCCTGGGAATAAATCATGTGGGACATATTTTCACTACAACCCTGCTTAATATTGAATTAAAATCAAAGGATGGAGCCCAAGCTTTATACCAGTTTGGAAAAAATATCACTTTTGTTAGTACTTTTTAAATAATTCTGATTTGAGTTTCCTTGAGGAAAATATAGGAACTTTGTAGTCTGAAGTATCGAGTGACTGGTATTGAAAAAAAAATGCAAAAATGGAGAAGTATACAACAGACACAAGCAGATCAAGCAGATTTTAATGAAAATAAGTCCGGAAATAAAACATATCGGACAAAATTTAACACAAACCTGCTTAACCTTAAAATAAACTCAAAAAATGGCGCCCTAGATGCATACCACGACGGATAATAAGACCAATTTTGATAGTTGTTGTTACACAATTGTGATTTGAGTTTCCTTGAGGAAAACATAGAAACTTTGCAGTCTGATCTCAAAGTAAAAGCAAAGAGTGGCGCCCAAGATGCATACCAGGGCGAACAATAAGACAGTTTTTTACAGGTGGTTTGAATTACAATTTTGAGTTGCCTTGAATTTAAATACTTTGACAGGAAATTTAACGGGTAAATTGACTTACTCACCGTTCTCCATTTATTATGGCTACTCATAACACAAGCTGTCAAAATACTTACTGTCGCTATAAGGTCTTCCAGAGAGAAAATTCTCTTAAGATCTTTAATCTGACTTCTAAGTATGATATGATAGATCTTTTTTTTTAAAAAAACAAGAGGGCATAGAACTGAAAGTCTTTTCATAGAAGAGCTTTAGCTGCTCTCAAAGAAGAGCAGTAGTTCTTCCCCAAGAGAATATGTAGTTCCTCTTCTAAAAGAGCTGGAACTACTCTCATAGAAGAGCTGAAGCTCCCCTTAACGAAGAGCTGAAGCTCCCCTCAACGAAGAGCTGAAGCTCCTCACATAGAAGAGCTCTCAACGAAGAGCTGAAGCTCCTCTCATGGAAGAGCTAAAGCTCCTCTCATGGAACAGCTAAAGCTCCTCTCATTGAAATGCTGAAGCTCCTCTCATAGAAAAGCTGAAGCTCCTTTCAACGAAGAGCTGAAGCTCCTCTCATGGAAGAGCTAAAGCTCCTCTCATTGAAATGCTGAAGCTCCTCTCATAGAAAAGCTGAAGCTCCTTTCAAAGAAGGGCTGAAGCTCATCTCATACAAGAGTTGAAGCTCCTATCATACAAGAGTTGAAGCTCCTATCATAGAAGAGCTGAACCTCCTCTCATCGAAGAGCTGAAGCTCCTCTCTCATAGAAGAGCTGAAGTTCTCTCTCATAGAAGAGCTGAAGCTCCTCTCTCATAGAAGAGCTGAAGCTCCTCTCTCATAGAAGAGCTGAAGCTCCTCTCTCATAGAAGAGCTGAAGCTCCTCTCTCATAGAAGAGCTGAAGCTCCTCTCTCATAGAAGAGCTGAAGCTCCTCTCTCATAGAAGAGCTGAAGCTCCTCTCTCATAGAAGAGCTGAAGCTCCTCTCTCATAGAAGAGCTGAAGCTCCTCTCTCATAGAAGAGCTGAAGCTCCTCTCTCATAGAAGAGCTGAAGCTCCTCTCTCATAGAAGAGCTGAAGCTCCTCTCTCATAGAAGAGCTGAAGCTCCTCTCTCATAGAAGAGCTGAAGCTCCTCTCTCATAGAAGAGCTGAAGCTCCTCTCTCATAGAAGATCTGAAGCTCCTCTCTCATAGAAGAGCTGAAGCTCCTCTCATCGAAGAGCTGAAGCTCCTCTCATGGAAGAGCTGAAGCTCCTCTCCTAGAAGAGCTGAAGCTCCTCTTATAGAAGAGCTGAAGCTCCTCTTATAGAAGAGCTGAAACTCCTCTTATAGAAGAGCTGAAGCTCCTCTCAGAGAAGAGCTGTAGTTCCCCCATTGAAGAGCTACAGCTTATCTTATAGAAGAGCTGCAGCTCCTCTCTTGGAAGAGATGTAGTTTTTTCCTTGAACAGATATAGTTCCTCTTGAGGAAGTGCTATGGTTCTTCTCCTAGTAATGCTATAGGTCTTCTATAGAAGATATATCTCCATTCCTAGAATAGCTCTAGATTTTTTTCCTAGAACAGCTGTAGCTTATATACTAGAGATGCAACCCTCTTCAAGAGGAGCTATAACTGCTCACAAAGAGATGCAGCTCCTCTCCCAGAAAATCTGTAGCATCAGACATTGAAAAGCAGAAGATCCTCTCAGATAGAGTCCTAGCTCATTTCATAGAAAATGTGTAGGTCCTCTCATAGCGGAATAGTAACTCCGCTTATTGAAAATCTGTATTTGCTCTCCTAGAAAAGTTGTAGCTGTTCTCAAAGAAGAACTGTAAATCCTCGCAATGAAGATCTGATACTCCTCTCCTAGTAAAGCTTAAGCTTCTCTCAGAAAGAGCTCTAGTTCCATTCATAGAAGTTGTTTAGCTCTTCTCATAACGGAATACTAGCTCCTTTTATTGAGAATCTGTAAAAGCTCTCCTAAAAAAATTGTAGCTGCTCTCGTAGAAATACTCCAGCTCCTCTCTTTCTAATGAATTCATATCACAGAGTTCTTCTCGTTTCGTTTATGCCTGATGTACCTACCAGAGAAATATGGAATAATTTATAACCCTTACATGACAATGCATCCAAATACATAAAACAACAACCACAAGAAAACTGCATTTCATTTTCAATTGCAATAGGTTAATTTTTACAACAAAAAAGCCAAACGATGTTGTTTAACAATTTATTTTATTGTTGTTTATTTTCACCATGCAACTGGTTTCTGTTGTTGCAAATGCAAAACAGTTCCCATCATAAAAAATCTGAAATATATGTGTGTGTATATATAATGGCATGCATACATATGTTTTCTTTGACGTCACTACTTTATCAACAGCTGAAAACCCCCTCCTCCTCGGCAGATGAGCTTAGTTGCAATTTTCTGTTGCCAGTAAATTTCAATAAACTGCATTTGATTATTGTTTTTGTTGTTGTTGGAACGGTTATCTCGTAAAGGTTGTTGCTACTCTGCATGCTAAGTGAGCCCAGAGAAATAGAAAACAAGAAAACAGATGAGCTGCTCTTTGTGAAGAGGCTATGTTAAATAAATTTTACTTTTTTTTTCGTCTTGGCATGTTGGCGCATCTTCAATTTTTATACCCTCCACCATACTATGGAGGGTATATTAATTTTGTCATTCCGTTTGTAACTTCTCGTAATACTCATGTCAGACCCAACAAAGTATATATATTCTTGATCAGCTAAGACGATTTAGCCATGTCCGTCTGTCTGTCCGTCTGTCTGTTGTAATCACGCTATCTTTCGAAAGAATTGAGATAGAAGACTAAAATTTTGCACACATGTTTATTTTGCCAGTAGGCAGGTTAAGTTCGTAAATGCACTATATTGGTCCACGTTTTCATATAGCCCCCATATAACGGTACCTCCCGATATTCGATATTTTGATAATTTTAGCGAAATTATTCACCGGAATTGTTTCAAATTTGGTGTTTGAAGTTCGAAATGGATACTACAGCCTAAGACAGAAAATTGTCTCTGCAGGTCCACCTCTTCGTATAACCCCGATATAACTGTACCTCCCAATATTCGGTATTTTGATGATTTTAGCGACATTATTCACCGGAATCGTTTCAAATTTGGCATTTGAAGTTCGAAATGGATACTACAGCCTAAGACAGAAAATTGTCTGTGCAGCCCACGTCTTCGTATAGCCTCCATATAACTGTACCTCCCTATACTCGGTATTTTGATGATTTTAGCAAAATTATTCACTGGAATTGTTTACAATTTGGCATTTGAAGTTCAAAATGGATACTACAGCCTAAGACAGAAAATTGTCTGTGCAGGTTCACGTCTTCGTATAGCCCCCATATAACGGTAAGTCCCTGTATTCGGTATTTTGATGATTTTAGCGAAATTATTCACCGGAATTGTTTCCAATTTGGCGTTTGAAGTTCGAAATGGATACTACAGCCTAAGACAGAAAATTGTCTCTGCAGGTCCACCTCTTCGTATAACCCCGATATAACTGTACCTCCCAATATTCGGTATTTTGATGATTTTAGCGTCATAATTCACTGTAGTAGTTTTAAATTACGTATTTAGAGTTTGTAATGGAAACTACAGTCTGTGACAGAAAATTGTCTATGCAGGTCCAGATCTTCGTATAGGCCCCATATAAAGATACCTCCCTATATTCGGTATTTTGACGATTTTAGGTACAATACCCACCGAAATAGTTTGAGATGTCATATTTGAAGTTGGTAATGGAAGCTACAGCCTGTGACAGAAAATTGTCTATGCAGGTCCAGGTCTTCGTATAGCTCTATGCAGGTCCAGGTCTTCGTATAGCAGAATTTTTGGCGAATGTAATTTTTTATCGAAAATTTTCCAAATTCTTTCTAAATGGTGGAGGGTATTCAAAGTTCGGTCCGGCCGAACTTATTGCTTTTT